AATTCACGCAGCCTCCTCCGTGCTCCCAACGGACAGCTGCTCGATCGAGTATCGGGCTTTCCCCATAACAGGCCGTCTCTCCCCCCTTGACATGTACAGAAGCACGCAGTACCACACAAAGTACACGTTATACAGGATATCGATGATAAAGTACTCCAAGTTGTCAAGCACGTTCAAAAAGCGGTTCCTCATGGGCCCGAATCCCTTCCCCTTCGCTCTCTCAACAATCCGGAGCAGCCTCTCAGAAACAGTCGCCCCCCGATAGTACGTATTCAGCGTATACCGCCTCTCTCCAGAAGCTATATACGTAACTACAAATCGGAGGATGTTGATCGAATAAAACATGTACATAAACCACTTTCTCTGGCTATGCCTTTTCTCCGCCCACAGAAAGTACCAGCAAATGGAAGAAGTCGCTCCCGACCACATCGTATTCAGCATATCCGACCTGCTCGTGTATTTATACGTGTAAATCCACAGTAGCCCGTGGAAAATAAATCGGTTAATGATCAAAAGGGCGCATCCTTCAAGCATGTAGTAGACGGTGAAATACGTGTATTTGGAGGATACTGTGTGGTTTGATACGGTGCTCCATCTCTCGTAGAAGTGAGACTTTGCGCTGTTACTCCACATTATGCTGATGATTATGCGCATCACATTTGAGAGAAGGTACAGAATATAAAGTGTAATGTTTGAGTCTGGAACAGTTACACCTTCTACAAATCCGTATCTTACAAGGCGAGCTATTTGCAGGAGAATGTGCATGTAGAAGAAGGAAATGGACCCATTCAGAATGAAGTATACGATGACTTGTACGTCTGTGAAGGTTTTGAAGATGATGTTGCAAATAGTCTCCAGAAGGATGGTTCTCAGCTCTTCGTCGTGCTCGTATGCATTTATCGTGCGATAGTTGTGGGACATTGTGACGACGGAAATCACCGTGTACACGATACTGGCGGAGCACATTATGAAGAAGTATGCTCCGAAAGGCTTTGATATGTTTGACTGCACTTCCTTCATGTGCCTGCTCTCTTGTTTGTCTTATATGCGAAGGGCGATCACTCTGGGAGTTTCGGGCCCTCTTTCGGTGCGTCCACGCGAGGAAAAAGCAGCATAAATTGTGCTAATTTGTGGGCAGTGTGTGTGTACTAAGTCTTAAAAGCAGGGCTTTTTCTGCTGTTTGCAGGAAGTAGTGCTTGCTCGGCAGGACTTTCTGCGCCCACCCCAAAAACTCTGGGAAAGCAGCAGGACTTTTTCTGCCGTGTCTGGAAAGTCCTGCTGGTTTTGCGCTCAAAAGCCCCAGCCTGCGCAGAAGCCCCGCAGAGGCACCACTTACCACGCACAGCACAGAAAGTCCTGCCACCTCCCAGACTTTTTGCGCCCTCCCCGCAAACCCCCGCATTTTTCCCAGATTTTTTATAAACTGCCCAAAAATTACTCCCCACCCCCATCACATAGTACACACAGCCCAGCATTTTATTAATTTTTTCTATTTATTTCCAACATTTTTTTACCCCACCCCAGGAAAATGAGAGAAATACTTTCAATCCACGTCGGACAGGGTGGAATACAAATGGGAAACGCAAATTGGGAACTCTACTGCCTAGAGCACGGAATACTCCCCAACGGAAAAGTAGACAAAGAAGCAAACAAGCCAATCGACTCAGCCTCCTCCTTTTTCTCAGAAACAAGCACAGGAAACATGGTCCCAAGAGCCCTCATGGTAGATCTGGAGCCAGGCGTAATCGACACGATAAAAACAAGCGCCTACAGGAACCTCTATCACCCCTCGCAGCTCATCGCAGGAAAAGAAGACGCAGCAAATAACTACGCAAGAGGCCACTACACAGTCGGAAAGAACATCATAGAACCAGCAGTAGAGCAGATCAGAAGACTCGTAGATAACTGCGACTCTCTCCAGGGATTCTTCATCTTCCACTCCTTCGGGGGAGGAACAGGATCGGGACTTGGAACCCTCATCCTCGAAAGACTCTCCCAGATATACGAGAAGAAGAGTAAGCTGGAATTCGCAATATACCCAGCCCCCCAGGTCTCGAACTCAGTCGTAGAGCCGTATAACTCAGTACTCACCACGCACATGACACTAGAGCACGCAGATTGCTCCTTCCTCGTGGATAATGAAGCAATTTACGATATGTGCAAGGGACTCGGAATACACAGGCCAGATTACGTAGATCTTAACAGAGTTATCGCTCAGGTCGTCAGCTCAATAACTGCGTCCCTGAGATTCCCAGGATCCCTGAACGTAGACCTCGCAGAGTTCCAGACGAACCTCGTCCCGTACCCAAGGATTCACTTCCCGCTTATCGCTTACTCCCCTATTGTATCAGCAGAGGGAGCAGCACACGAACAGCTTAGCGTAACGGAAATAACGACAGCTTGCTTTGAGGCACAGAATCAGCTCGTTAAGTGCGATACGAGGAGGGGTAAGTATATCGCATGCTGCCTCCTTTTCAGGGGAGATATCAACACGAAAGACGTTAATATCGCAACAGGAATCGTAAAGAGCAAGAAGGGAGATAGGTTCGTGGAATGGTGCCCAACAGGATTTAAGATCGGAATCAATAATGAGCCCCCGACAGCACTCCCGGGAGGAGCAATGCCTCCCCTCAAGAGAGCTGTTTGCGCTCTCAGCAATACAACGGCTATTGTCGAGGCTTGGAAGAGACTCAGCCAAAAGTTCGACCTCATGTACAGTAAGAGGGCTTTCGTCCACTGGTACGTCGGAGAGGGCATGGAAGAGGGAGAGTTTAGCGAGGCACGGGAAGACCTCGCAACCCTCGAGGCAGACTACCACGATCTTGCAGGGGAGATGATCCTCGAGTAATAAAGGCAGTACTTCACTTTGTGCCCAATGCACACGATCTCTTGGTCTTTGCTCATTCTTTTTGCGTAGTGTGGACTATCTCTTGATATCTGCTCATTCTTTTTGCGTAGTGTGGACTATGTCTTGGTCTTTGCTCATTTTTTTTGCGCAGTGTGGACTATGTTTTGGTGTCTGCTCATTCTTTTTGCGTAGTGTGAACTTCTGCTAGTTATTGCGCACTGCTTTATTCCAGCTATGTGCAGGATTTATTGTGCTGTACGTGCTAATAGGACTTACTGCGCCCTGCACATTAATAGTGGCACTTTGCTGCTGCTTTCTGCCCTCTGCACATTAAATAGTGCTTAAACGCATGCGCCTATTTATTGCACCCCACCCAGTAAACAGGACTTTCTGCACAGTGTGCTAAAAATAAGACTTTGCATCTGCTTTTATGCACTGTGTATTAAGTTCATTTTACACCCTGCATAAAANCTGCAAGTTCTGCTTTTCTGCCTCTATTTTCTGCTTTTCTCTGCGTTTTCTTTTTCTTTTTCTTTTTTTTTGTCCCTTGTACGGACATGGCAGATATAACATCAGAGAACAAAGTAATAATCCTCACTGTGAACTTGTGGAAGCTCGTCAAAGGGTGCTCCCAGAAGAGATGGGCAGACTGCGCCGTTAGAAACATGAAGAAACTCATCCAGAAGCAGTTCAAGACGACCATGGACGTTAAAATAGACATGGACCTCAACAAAGCCATCTGGTCCCGAGGAAAGAAGCAGCTCCCCACAAGAATAAGAATAGAAGTAGGAAAGAGGCCCTCCTTCAAGGACAACGCAAAGACAGAGATGTTCGTTAAACACGTGTTCGTCCCCACTTTCAAGGGCCTGCAGACAGAGAGCTTTATCGCACAGATGGACCAATAAATCACTTATTTTACCACAGACTTAGCACAGAATGAGTACCTGGGAATTCCCTGTATTGTCGTAGACTGGCTTTTATTCATACCAAGACAAGAAAGAAAGAGTAAGACAAGAAAGAACATGGCTTACTCTTCTTCCTTCTGCAAAGTCTCTTCCTGCAAAGTATTCTCTAAAGCAGTCTCTAAAGTTGTCTCTTGTTGTAAAGTCTTTTCTAAAATAGTCTTTTATTTCTATTCAGAAGTCTTTTATTTCTCTTCTAAAATAGTCTCTTGTTGTAAAGTCTTTTCTAAAATAGTCTTTTATTTCTCTTCTAAAGTATTTTCTGAAGTCTCTTTTTCTTGCAAAGTATTTTCTTCTGAAGTTTCTAAAATAGTCTTTTCTTCTAAAATAGTCTTTTCTAAAGTATTTTCTGAAGTTTCTTTCTTTTCTGAAGTACTCTCTGAAATACTCTCTAAAATGCTCTTTTCTGAAGCCTTCTTCCTCTGGGGAAGGTGCTTCTCAATCGCATCCTCCCAGCTCCTCGTTTGCGTGTACTCCAGGAGGACGTTGAACACGTGGAGCGTGCTCAGGACACTCGAGGAGGAAAGCTTCTGCGAGATGGGAAGACGAGCCGTCCTAAATCGGCCCTGAAACAGCTTCTCCGTGTATCCCTTATGCCGGTTCCTATCCACAAGTCCCCCAATCACATAAACTGTCCCCTCCTCCAGACTCTGCAGCTCCTCCGAAGCATCTGCTGACAGGACAACGACACTCTCCGCAGCCTCCTCCTGCACGGACTTCCCCGTAAACTCCACATTCTTCCAGTTACTCGAATCTTCCTGCATATACCCCGAGAGAAGAGAACTATTCCCAACCGTTAACTGCACGGGAGAAGGTGCAACTCTATTCGAAGCGTACGCGTACCGTATCTGCCCGCAAAGACTCCGCATCTCCCGAGGCGTCATCAGCTCGTCTCCCCCAAGGACTTCTATCCAGATCCTGTACCCAGAGAGTCTCTGCCCCTCAGGAACGGGCTTCCTCTTCCCCCGCTTTGCTCCAGCTCTTTTCTCTCGGTACTTCTCCTTCATCCTCTCGTACCGGATCTCCCGCTTCTCCTTCTTCGAGAGTCGCCCTGGCTTTTCCTCCATGAAAATCTTTTCTTCCGCAAACCCGCATCTTATGCACGCGACTGCAGAAGAAGCAGACTTTGTACAGATATTTTCCGTCCTCCTCCGAGAATATCCTCGTGCTGCACGTAACTGCAGGAACTAAAAGCGTAAAACACGCGCAAATCACCCTTTTCACCGTATGCTTTAGCTTGAAGATCTTCTTGTTGTGCTGCTTCTGCAGAGTCCGCACGAGACGCCTGGAGACTTCTGGGGATACGCACAGAACGTGCAAAGATAAGTCTATATCTCTCTCCGCGGATATTCTCGCACTTTCCCGAGATTTCTCCCTCCGGACTTTTCCTCCGCATAAATCCATTTCTCTTTTTATTTTCATGAATGCACCCATAAACACAGAGGAAGTCCTGCAGGAGGTTTTCGAGCTCTTCTCAGAGACGGAGGGAAAAGACCTCGTAAAAAGAGAGAATGTTTCCCTCCTGCTTGAAGCGCTCGGATGCATCGTAAAATCCCACGATGTAGAGGCATCTCTCCCCCCCAGGAAAGAGATTTTTACGCTCGACGAGATACGGAGAATTCTTGCCGCGGAGAGACTCAGCATTCTCTCGCAGAAAGAGGTTTTGGAGGCTTTCCACGCATTCGACAGGAATAAAACCGGAAAAATGGCCGTCTCCACGCTAAAGGCGATCCTCCAGGCAGGCCCAGGACTCTCGCAGGAGGAGATAGACGCTGCCCTGGAGATTATGAGCCCCACTCCAGAGGGCGTTGTAGAGTACGCGAAGTCAAAACTCTTCCAAGTCCCAGAAAAAGAAGAAGCAGAAGAGTAGGAGAAAAGAAAAAATCAGCGCATCCGCTGAGACAGCAAAATAAATAATCCGCTGGAATTCCCTGGTTTTGGCCTTTGCCTCCTGTCACGCGTATTTCTATTATCCTAAAAAGTGTAAAATTAATTTTCGAAGGATCCCCTGGTATATGATCATAATAGTTTTGGTAAAAAGTTTTATATCTACGGATGGACAACGATACTAAAATTAATTCGCATCAAGGCACGTGGAAAGACCTTCCGGGAATGGATAGAGTCCCACAAGTCCCCAGGAAAATCCCCATAGATCTATACACAAGACTTCTCCTGGACAATGAGGCGTCTTGGATTGCAATGGCAAATTTATTTAGAGAGTGCAATATGGAGAAAAACATATGCTTCGCGTACGAGAAAGCACTTGCAAATAATCCGCTTTCAAGAGATGCTCTGATGATGCTGGGGCCTATTTACAGGCGGAGGAGAGACTTCCCAAAGGCGCTAGACGTATTCCTGCGGCTGTACAAGCTCTCCCAGGGGGAAGACATCGCTATAGCTATAAACATAGCGTACTGCTACCTTATGCTCGATAAGTTCCTGGAGAGTCTCGCCTGGTACAAAATGGTCTCGAAGAATGCATCGCAAATAAAGGAGAAAAAAGGCTTTCTCTGGTACGGAGTCGGCGTATTCTACGAGAGAATGAACAACCTGCAAATAGCAGAAGAGGCGTACGCTGCCTCCATAAAGATAGAGCATACTTCAGAGTACATCCCAGAAGTTTACTTCAGGCTCGGAGTAACGTACAAAAAGAAGGGCGCAATAACAGCAGCGATGGAGTGCTTCGAATACCTGCTCCATAACATCTCCTCAAAGAGTCACTACCCCACGAAAGATGACGTCCTCATACAAATAGCACACGCGAACGAACTGCAGTCTCGGGAGGTGGAGGCAGTTGACATCCTGAAGGGAGTCTGCCAGCTGAATCCCAGGCACGAAAAAGCATCGATGCTTCTGGCTTGGCTTTATTACAAGGACAGAAACTGGGAAGCAGCAAGAGAAGTTCTGCGCTTGCACAGGGCAGAGACTCTCTCCGCGTTCTCCTGGTACATCCTCGCACGCTCAGAGCAGAAACTAGAGGACTACGAGGAAGCGTACAGATGCTATCATCACGCACTGAAGCAGGACAGTCAGAATCACATATACTGGAACAGCCTGGGGATACTGTACTTCAATCTCTCGCAGTTTCAGGATGCAATGCGGTCGTTCAAGGAGGCAAGAAAGCATAATCCCGGGTATGTAGAGGCAGTTTACAACCTGGGAGTAGTGTACGAGCAGTTTGAAGATGCGCTGGAGAGTGCCCTGGAGATATACGAGGAGGCAATTTCTATTTTTCCGGAGGATAGACTTGTCCTGGAGAGGATTGAGGAGATTGAAGAGGCGATGAGTGGAGACGGGGAGGGTGCGTATGCTCCCCCGGAGGTGGCACTTCGAGATATTCTGCCGAATCCTGGGAAGACTCCGTACTTTCTGGCGCATGCTTTGCTCGGGTATAGGCCCACGGGGTTTATCTTCTCGGCTGCGGAGAAGGAGGAGGCGGATAAGCTTGCTGAGATGCTGAATATGGAGGAGGGCGAGTGAGAGATTCTGCAAAGTAATAAATTGAAATAGCTACGGACTTTTGGGGAGGACCTGCAACTCAGGGCATCCACTTTGGAAGGTGTCAGGTGCGATTATTGCTGCATACTGTGCCTGAAAGGAGTAA